TGGGTGAATGGGCAGTTTGTCATCTTCAGAAAGAGCAGACATCTTGATGAACTCCAAACAATCAGAAATGGCTTCTGAATAAAACGAATTCGTCGCGTCATACGAGCTTGAGCTGCGCTCAAAGCCTTTGATGCTTCCATTGCTGTCACTATTTGTGCAATATCTGTTGTTTCTTATACTTGTTGCACCAATCTTTAGCATTTTAGTGGCTTTCTCATATGAACACTTCCACCTCCATAAGAACCTAAACCTTAGCATATGAACTGCAAACCGCCTCCTAATGCCACTTACACGGAAACCTCTTGATCCATGCCATCTCCTGCCACCCATCCTGTTATGTCTTCTCAATAAATCCTTTTGCTAACAAAGCCACACACACACACACACACATATATATATGATTTCATAATACTCTATATATATACATATATAGACACATTTTTGTGTTCATGTATATGTATTGAATCATCACGATTTAATTAATAAACAGGTACAATCTTGAGGTACACTAATATGATTTTTTTATGAGTGGGACACTGCAACTTAATTTCATTCTTGCATACAGATCACACTCCACCAATTAATGGCAACATATATTCCTTCTTATTTACAGATCACAGTCCACCAATGGCTACATAATATACAAATTATTTTCCCAACTTCTAAATAAAGTTATATTTTAAAAATAATAATAATAATAATAATAAAATACTTCTAAATATATTGAGCTCACTAGGTGTATATAATTAATTATAAAAGACAAGTTTAAAGGAAAATGTCTCTCTAACTTGAAAATCTAGAATAAAATGTTTTCTAGTACATGTGATAATTAATATATATATGATTTATATTTTCTCAATATATAGGTCATTGTAAATTTAGGTAGGACGAGAAGAGAGTGAAACTCCGGTGTCTTGATGGATCCGATAAAGGATTCAGACGCCTTCATGTGGAAGGCACCATTTAGGGCGGGCAGTAGTACAACAGTCCCCAACTACAAATGTGGGCAGACCAGAAAATTGTGATATAACCCTTGAATTCTGCCACCTCTACCAGGTTGGTTTAGGTGACCTGTTTTCAAGACCAAAGACCAAACAAATTATTTTGCAGATAACATCCGTGTGCATTTAATTTTACTTATTATAATATTCAGGAAAAAAAAATAAAAAAATTTACTTACCATTGGATCAATCACAAGGCCTAACAACATCTGCAGGCCCATTCCATTCTGTTTAAAATAATTTTGAAGGTCCGGTAAATGATTTTGGACCGAGTTAGGTTTTATAAAAAGCTTGTTTGAGTGAGGGCACTTTTATAATATTATTTTTGTAAATTTTGAAGAATGTTTATCTGATTTATATTCCTAAATATGAGTTTTTAAAATGTAAGTAAAAAATTAAGAAAAAGAATTTGAGTTGCAATTTAATCACGATGCGAAAATTTAAACAGGGGCTGGTATTTGCTAAACAATTTTGGGTGAGATGGAACAGAAAAATAGGGTGATATTCTCTTAATTAAAGTTCAAAATCTTTCCTAGAATTGTTTAGCATTGTTGAGCAGGTACATCTTCACTTTGGATCTGAACGAATTAATCAATTCTCCCAAACCTAAAAACACTGAAAATTTTTTAGCAAAGAAGGATTTTATTTTGTGGAAAAATTAGAGGATCACTTATATAAAAAAGAAACCAATTTATATTATTGATCGGGATGAACACTATGCGTTAAGGTTCTGGTCTGCCCACATTTGTAGTTGGGGACTGTTGTACTACTGCCCGCCCTAAACGGTGCCTTCCACATGAAGGCGTCTGAATCCTTTATCGGATCTATTAAGACACCGGAGTTTCACTCTCTTCTCGTCCTACCTAAATTTACAATGACCTATATATTGAGAAAATATAAATCATATATATATTAATTATCACATGTACTAGAAAACATTTTATTCTAGATTTTCGGATCCTTAGAATATTGGTATTATCACCTAAACCAACCTGGTAGAGGTGAAAATTAGTCCATGGTGTCACGGTGGTTAAACTATGCACGCAACACGTGCCGAGTAGGATGCTTCTTCCAGAGTAGTATAGACTACAGAGTTTTGCGAAGGATGACTTGTGTAGAATCATGTAGATATATGGAGAAGAGCAGAGAGAGGAGAGGAGTTGAGAGAAATTTCTAGAGGTATGCGGATATATGGAGAAGAGGAAAGGAGTTGGGAGAAAGTTTAGAGGGACGACCTTATGATTGCATCCTAGTCATCCATTTGGAATGGAAAAATAGATCGTATGGTGGTTGTGAAATTTGTCAATTATTGTCCAAAATATCTGGATCATTTTAGTTAATTGAATAGTTAAAGAGTTAGATGGGACTTAATTATCTAATCTTTTAATTATTTAATTTGCCTCTCTTATTGGCCCATACACATACAGACCGATCTAAGCTTTATGATATATGACATGATTAATTCACGTCTGCCAAGGATGTTCAATGTTTTCATTTAATCTTTATGAGATATCTGAATCTTTTTCTGGATGTTTTTATATGTTCTTATTGATGATCAGAACTTGTATATTTTTGTGATGATCAAAAATACTTTCCGCATGTTTTTCTTTAGATGACATTCTGTTTCTCTTTCATTTCATTTTATGATGCTTTGGTAAAACTAAATGCTTTGTCATTGATGCTTTGGTAGGGAAGTAGGTTTCATTTGTTTGAGAATATTTTAGGAAAAATATTTTTTTGTGTTTTTGTTTGATTATCGTAAAATATTTACAAGAAAAAAATATTAAAACTTAATGAAATTAACTTATTCATTAATTTTTGACAAGCTATTTTACACGCCCCACTCGATGGACTCGACCTCAACCTAGACCTTTGCCAAACATTGAAAAATAATATATATATATATATATATATATATATATATATATATATATTTTACTTGAACAAAAAAAATATTTTACTTCGAAAGAAATGAAGCCCAAGTGTAAAACGGCAAATATTCATTTTAAGTTTTAGACGACAGGCCGACCAATCAACCAGAAATCTCTTTTACATCACTGAAAACTAGTGCTCAAGGGAAGAGCAAATAAAATTCACCACATAAAATTTGAGCTAAACCTAGTCCAACTACTTGTTCATTCAGCTTAAGGGGTCAACGTATTTCTTTCAGAGGGCCTTCTTGTTCACACCATCAAAATAAGGGTGTTCCGTAGCTTTCTTTTGAGGGGTCATACTACAACATCTTCTGCAAACACAAATTTAAAAGTGTAAATACACAAATAAACAAAGGAAGGAAATTAACAAAAATTGTGTACATTGATTGTTTATACCAAAATAACCAAGCAACAAGGGTGGTTCAAACTTTACCAATAGCAAGTTTAGCCCATCTCCGTCCAGATTAGGGACAGCTGACGACAACGTCTGAGGGCTGCATTGGGGATATTCATTCATGCCGGTTTGTTAGCTTGCTTACTCCTCGCCACACGTCTTCATTTGGAGTACCCAACAGCCTGCATTTGAATTCCCAATAGAAACTATGATAAGAAAGAATGACCGGAAAAGAAAAATAAAATTGTGACAATGGCAAAAGGGCTGTGTTAAATGTTATCTCTACGAACCTGAAAATGTGAAGAAGCTGTTGCAGTTCAGTGTCTCCAGGAAAGAGTGCTGTCTTTGTGACTAGCTCAGCTAGAATTCAAATTAAACATATAAGTAAAGTTAATAGCTTTGCAGCTACATATGCTTGTATACATGTATAAAATAGTACTGGTAAAGAAATTACCAAAGAGTAAATACCTGCAACAATAATTACTCACCCACTAATTATCATATACCTTATTAAATTTTATGAATATGTTACTGACTAGCAAAAGACAACCAACCAACCATAGGTACCTCATGAGTGTACTTAATAGGCAGGGTAAATGCTCGAGCCAACCCAAGATCTGCTATTTTAAGCATCATTGTCTTTCGGTCCCTCAGAAGATTGTGAGGCTTAAGGTCCCCGAAATAAATTAAAAGAAAGAAAAAGGACGAAAATTGTTCTTACAACGCCTCTACGAATTGCTCTATCAAAAACAGCTGCAGTCATATAAGATAGCAAATGAAGAGTGTTTCCTGTGTAAGACACCATGACATGGCAAAATGAAACACCCTTGCAAAGTTGGTACATCAAGCTCTGCATTAAGACCAACCAAAGTTTTACTTATCTAAAAAATGACCACCAAAAGTTTCTCACAAACAGAACACAAGTATGTGGAGCAAATATAGTAGTAATTGTAACTAAAACTTTGTAAGAATATTATATCTGTTTTAGACCATTTGTAAACCATATGAGATAGAACTGAAGAACCTCAATGGCAGGAAATGATTAAGGGAACTGCAAAGAAATCATATAACACACAACAAATCAAACAGAACTAGAATATGAGATCATGGAGACTTGTAAGGGAACACTTAACCTGTACTTAAAAACCCAAATTGAGTAAGAATTTAAGCCATAAAAACCAAAAGAAGATGAAAATGGTCTGAATTCAAGAGAATATCAACAACAGGTGTTAAACATCATCTAATTCCTGAAATAAATTAATTCAAGAAGAGGCCAAATATTACATTGGGACTATGCAGATCCAAAGAAAATAGCTCAGATTCTTACAGTTATTAAAAGCATGAGACAAATTGTTCAAACATTCATCAAATAAATTCCAAACCCTGAACATGTTTCCCAGAAACTAATCTTAATTAATTGAATAAACAGATCTTACCAAATAAATATATAAAGAGGGAAAAAAGACAAGGTTACAAAGCTCAAGATAAACAGACTGTAACAAATTCATATATAATATATAGACAACACAAAATGCATATTAAATCAAAACCCCTCCACGTGAAAGAAAACCCAAAAAAACAACAAAAGCCCAAACCCAAACCCTAAACCTAGCCTACAAATTGAAGTAATGGATAAAGTTTCCAGTTCAAGAATACAATCAAGAACAACTGAAAAAAAAAAAAAAACTCGCCAAACTGTAAAGAAAACGAGAGATTTGAATGATGGTACCAAACGACATCGGGATCCCTAGAGAGCATACGCAACAAAGAGACCTCACGGAGAGTGGTGGGAGGGACTCCTTCATCATCCTCGTGGAGTCTTGTCTTCTCCAAGGCCACCGTAACCTTCTCCCTGGCTCTGTATACCACCTTGTTCCCTCTTCGACCTTCTCCAGCTTCTCAAATGCCTTCATCGCTGATTTCTCCATTTTCTCTCTCTAAAAATCCCTATCTCTCTCTCTATAACTGTTGTTGGCTCGGTGGGTTAACTGCAACAATTTTTGAAATTCACATGGACTTGGGCACGCTTCTCCTAGATGGGCCGAACCATTTTGAAAGCTAACTTTTTTTCTATATTTGGGATTTGGATGATTCGTAGCCTATCTTTGTTGTTCAATTCTTTAGAATAACTTTAGTTTGAAAATTCATTTGATAATTTTAAGATTTTTTTTTTTTATTTAAATTTTTTTTTTTGGGTACATAAAATCACATATGAACTCCTTATTCTCCATTCGAGACCCTGGACTTTCCTTTTTTAAAAGCTTATGAGATACCACATTGGCTAAATCCTAAAACCCTTTGTGGTTATGAAATTGTTTGAAAAACATAGTTAAAGAGAAAAAAATAAAAAGATTGGAAATTTTAAGTAACAAAACTATTTTATTTCTCTAGAAATGTAAACAACATTTTTTTTTATATGGACCAATAACATATGGGCAAATCCTCCTTAATTTCCAAATTAAAGATGGTGGGGGACTAAACGCACTTTCCAAATTAAAGATGGTGAGTTAACTACCATCTCTGGTTTGGTAATTAAAATATGTGTTCATTTGTTATTGGTACACATTAGTAGTCAGGATGGTATACATCTTCACCGGTGAGGACCTAAGTATTGTCTCAAAGAAAATCACGATCGCCGATCATTGCATCAGGCGGTGGAGTCTGGTAGTTGTGGCGGTGGACGGTGCCGATGTAGAGTTTGCCACTCAGCGAATCCGCTCCTAATGTCTTGTTGATAGAAGGAAGGTTGTGCATTGGTTTTGCTTATTCATCCTCTTTTTCTTTTTAACTTTTATATTCATAGTGACCTTAAAGAACCCTTTCCAAGTTCTACATTATTATTATTTTCTTTTTTTCCAAATAATTTCTATTTGTGTCATAAATAGCATAAACATTTCCATCCAAGTGTAAGTCTTAATCTTTTATCAAAGGGCTTCTATGATATAATCTCTTCTTTTAAAATATAAAGATTGAGGGTTCAAATCCCATTAGGGACACGTGAATTATGGGGGAGTGTTTGCTTTAACTTCAAAAAATAAAATGAAAAAAACTCTGATACTTTACAGGAACTAACTTAAGACATACAAAGACGCCTAATATCTTGTTGAATCAAGAAGGTTGTGCTTTTGTTGTTCTTATACATAGATTAGTATCCCATTGCGACTTCAATCATGTCATAATTAGCAGAAAAATCTCCATAACCCTTTAGCCTCCATTTTCTCCATTGTATTATTACCTTTCTCTTCATCCTCTTAAACTTTGCCTTACTTCTACCGTTCTTGACAAAAGATACAGATGGTATTTAGGACAACCTCCCAGTAACGTATCCTATCAACTCTCACTATCGATATCAATATAAATCTCACTCAAATGCTCTTCTTACTAATAATAGTAAGTCATATAAGATGTTGCATACCAACACTAGTTATGCAAATTGCAATACATTGGGACGTTCCACATTTAAGTTTTCTGAAAGGGGAAGAAAAAACATTGAGAAAATATGGAGAAAACATAAGTTCGGCAAGCCCCACCACAAACAATAAAAAAAGAAGTCCTTTTTAACAAACTTTAACACAACACTTCTTGTCACTACTTTTTCAAATAGTATTCCGTACTAGAAAGTGATCATCATCATGTTAGGATCACAACTCTTAAACACGTTTGTAGTGCGATCATCATGGTCAAGTCACACAATCCAAATAATTAAGGTGGCATTTTGTAGGACCAGAATCCTACTTACAATATGATTTGCGGAACTGGTCAACTGATTGCAAATACCATGCTGCCCCTAAAACCTAAATTTGTAACACAATTATGATTTTTTTCCCATCTAGTGCTTCATGGGGGACCAGGGCCAAGTTGCTAACCCGGTTGCACCACAATTATGAAATTCTCATTAAAAAACAAAAAAAAAAAAAAAAATTGAAAAAAAGAATATTAAAGTGACAAAAATGTGAGCAAGTGGCATAACAAAAAATTGCTTAAAAGTATATATAGTGACAAATAAATAACAAAAAATGATGTAATTCAAAGTTACACACGTGGTTAGCCAACATGTACAATACCACAGATTATATGCAGCCCCCGCAAAAACTGATTTGTGAGAATCCAGTTGCTTTAATAAGTTGTCCTAATTTGTGAAAATTAAATATAGTCTGGGAACACTGGAGTAGAACCATCAGCACAGGGGTATTGTTATTGTGATCAATTCCCGCTAAGTGAACTTTTTTTTTTTTTCCTTCTCTTTCTGAAGCTCCTAGTGTACTTTATAATATACTAGAATAAAGGTGAATAAAATTACAGAACCCCCTTCCACAACCCAGTCCACACCTGCCCCCTTTTATTTTTTTTATTATTTTAATTAATTAATTTATTTATTTATGCTGGGTGAACAGCAGATCAGGCTAATTACTTTCTCCTTCCAGGAATTTAATATACATTTTTAACTAAAATACAGTAAAAAAAAAATGATTTCTTTCCTTTGTAGTATGGTATGTTTTTATGTAGAAAAGGAGAAAGCGAAGTAAAAGTACCTGACTTCAAATATCCTCATCGGATGATTCTTCTTCTTCCAGGATGATCTCATATCGTGGAATCTCCAATTGATCACACATTCACACCTAACTTGTGTTTCAAAACATTTGTTGAATATGGGAAAACGCTGTCCCACGGTCAGATTCGAAGCTATATACGCAACTCTATTAGCTAGACTGTTTCCTTGAGGATATTGAAACAATATTTTATATTTGTCAAATATGACAACATATAATAAATGTTACTGCATAACAATAAATTTTATATCAATGTTATTGGAAGGAAACTGGAATCTAAATTTAAAGAATGAACTCAAACTTTATAATAAAAGCTTTCCGATAAAATTCTTTAAGTTCCTTATCTTCCATTCGTAGATGCACATTTCGACTTAGCACCTTGAAATTTTTTTCATGGTCAATCTCCAATATTATTCTCTTAACTTTCTATCTCCTTTGGAGAGTTTCATATATACCATGAGAGACTCCAGTAAGAATACTTCATCTCTGGATGTCATATCAGGAAATGGCATATGGAAAATTTCCAAAATCCTACCCTTAGGATCTCTCAATACTTCTCCACAACCAGCTTCTTTGGTCCCTCCAAGATCTTCCTAAAAAAACCCAGAGACGCTTAACTTGTACCACCCACTAGGTGGTGCTTTCCAAAAACAGATGATTGCAGATAGTCCCCGGAAAACTATCCAAAACATAAATTTGCTGCTTAAACATGTACTTATAAATCCTTTTTTTGTACTTTCCAGGAATCCTGTCGAAGAACCACATGAAGTCTTCTACCGAGATATATCTCATCAACTTGGAACCCCCATCCACATGCAAATCCGTGTAATCCATTTTGTACAACCCATAATATTATAATATTATGTTATGCTTCTTTTAAAAAAAATGCTCTTGGTATCTACAGACAGCCTGTTGTTTAATGATCAAACAATATATTTGTTAAAAGACTAATCTGAATTATATAAAAAGAAAATTATAATGATATTGAACTTACAACTAAACTTTCGAAGCTTGGAAAGTCTTTTTCCTTGATTAAAGTGGCAAGCACCATAGGATGAAGAATTTCTAAGGAGGGAAAAAAATAAAATCATCATTAAAGGCAAAAATATAGCAACGAAAATATGTCAGTGAGGCAACTTGTATATTTTAAGTCCATGGAGCCCGTCAAGCATATGCTGCGCGCACTGGGACATGACCCCAGGCGTGCATGCGCATGGGGCGTGCCCCATGCATGAGCGCACGCTTGGGGCATGCCAATGTGCGCATGCGTGTGGTGGTGCGTGTTCCCTTCATCTGTGCGTGTGCTGGTGTGTGGCCCCTTGCGTGCGCGCGCTTGGGGCATGCCCCTGCACTCTACTTCACTAACGAGAAACATTTCTTGTTTTCTTTTGCCAACACTTAAAAAGGCCAAAAAAAAATCATGTTTAAAAATAAGTATTTTCTATAATAGAAAACAAATTCCATTTTTTGCCAAGCAAAGAGAAAACATTAAAAACATATTTCTTATGTTTTCGGCAGTGTAGCGCAAAAACATTTCACTATTGTTACTACTTCATTTCAAACAAAAATCATGTTATATATGAATGATACATATTAAATATTAATACAAATATATATATATATTTTATACATAATATATTATGTAACAGTGTAATTAATTTTTATTTAATAAAAAATTAATTTTCATACATACTATATTAGATAAGGGGAAGCACCAATGGGCAGTGGCCTAGCGGTATCAGGCCCTTACTTCCCAAAGGGAGGTGAAGAGTTCAAGTCTCAGTGGAGGCATGTGTGTGTGAGTACCAACTAGGAAAAAAAAAAAAAAAAAGATAAGGGGAAGCAAACTTCCCCACTTTCTTGGGAAGGTTAAACCTTGTCACCAATTTTTTTTTTGGGGGGGGTGAACCATTAAACTTTGCCAACTCATAAAAAATATGGGTACTAATGTAATTTAAGCAAAACTGGCTAACAATCCTCTCTTCATCTCCCGACCTTCTATCTATCTCATGTCATAACTCTCCCTCTTCGAAGACCAATGTCGCGGTTGCCAGAAACCATGTCATCGCCGGCCACCACAACGTTGCTGCCAACACCACAGATTGTACAGTAGAGGGGGGAAATCCTAACGGGGAATGGACAACATCTTGAGCCTGATAACGTTTGAAAATTTGGTCAGCAATGGATCTTTCATCAAGATAAGAGTTTGAAAATCTTTTGGACTTCCTCTCTTTCCGGATCATGTGAAAATGATGGTTCCAATTCTTCTGGACTTCCTCTCTTTCACAGAAAGCAAGGGCACCTGGTGAAGCGGATGGTTCCAATTCTTCATGGACACACAACGAGATGAAGTCGAGTCCAAAATAGAGCTAAGAGAATAAACTCCATCTTGGAACCTCCCTATGAACTTGCTGGAATATCTAGTGGAATATCTATGAAGGTGGGGAAACAAATCCCATATCTAGTGAATAACATAAACTTGCTGGAATATCTAATACTTTGGAACAAAACATGAGATAATGAGATGAATTTACGGTAAGGATTAGTATTGCAACATGCTCTCTTCTCTCTCCTCCATCTCCAGGCGCCGGAGTCTTATACTCTGGTGACTTTTTCTGTCTCATCTACCGCACCAGGGTCTTACACTCTGGTGACATTCTCTGTTTTCCTTTTCTTGTCTTCTCTTTTTCTTCCTACTCTTTCCAGTTGACTCTAGTACGAAATATTTCCTTGAAATCACAAGGGCTTCCTTGACTCTTTCAGGGGGGGACTGTTAAAGCTGCAAAACCGCATAGGGGTCCTTCGATTTATCTGGATGATGCTTCAGTTGGAAGATGTAAGGACGATCTGTTGTCCTGTTTGGTGGGGAAGTTCGACAAAGAGGTTGGGGATTGCGCTCAAATTGCAGATTGGGTATCGCGCATGTAAAATATCAAATGGGGTGTTGCTGTTTCACCATTACCTGATTCGCTGCTTCTCTTTGGCCTTCCATCCCAATCGGAGGCACATCGGGTTTTGAAGGAGGGCCGACGAAATTGCGGTGAGGCGACGTTGTGCATGGACACTCGGAGCTTTAGGGTGGGATGTGCTGGTATTTTGAAGGAACAGGGGCTGAAAAGGGTTCGACTGTATGGTCTTCCTCTACATTTATGGTGTCATTCTCTTTTTGTGACTGTGGGTGATTTTTGTGGAGTTGGAGCTGATGAGACCAAAGATGCCAAACATGTCCGTGTTACGGTGCGTGATGGTTCAATCTGTCCTCAAGTGATCTTCATCCACAATGATCGATTTTGCTATAAAGTTGTGATTTGGGACGAAACTCCACCAGAGCTTTTGCCTATGACTGAAAGTCTTGATGGTGGAAATTGAATTGTTTCAAACGAAAAAAAAAAAATGCGCAACATGGTATGAGGATAATTCAAAAGGTCAGAGAAGTACAGGTTAAAACAGTGAAAATATACAGCTGCATCAGGCTCTAAGTTCATAAGCTATACATAGAGCTTTTGGATCACATAACTTGTACTAAAATTATCATTAGATGAAAAGTAATGAAAAATGACACATCCATTATAAACACTTACCTGGATCCTCATCGTCAATTGCATCCCCAGCCGCATCAGCAGAAAAAGCATTACTCTCAACGTCAGTTGCATTACTAACTGCATCAGTACGACTCGTAAACCATCACCGCCTGTCACAAGTGTTCCTCGTCATCATTTGCCGCTAACAATACAAAATTTCAGTCAGCCAAGTTTGACAGATGATGTAATTTTCTTTAAAATTTGATCTCCTACAGAAGATCCAAATTCAGGCTCAAACCAAATTTAAGGTAAACCAAAAGTCTTCGACAACAATATGAAAAGAAAAAAAAACAAACTGCTAAGTATGTAATATGAAAAACGTAGAAAAAGGCAATCTTATTCATGCCAAATTATCACATTGATCAAGTTGGGATCACCATCATTTTATTTAGGGTAAAGTGCAAAAAAAAACCTTGAACTATGACCCTTTTAGCAAATAACCACCCTAAACTACAAATGTGGCAGAAAACCCCCTGAAAAACCACTTTGGTTACAAATTGCCTAGTCCGGCGAGCTTCCGTTAGATGTGAAACGACCACACGGCTGTCACGTGACACACAAAATATGATTCAATGATCAAAAGGCCCTTATAAGCATGAAAAGAGTCTAATGCCCTTTATTGTTACCATTAGAACCAAACACCTCTTAACTGACTGTCACACCTGTTATTTTTATAGATTATAGAGAGAGAGATAGTAGAATGAGAGAGTAGATGGCTGAGAGAGAGAGAGCTCTGATAAGAGAGGCGTAGCCCTTTTCTTCATATTACAAAACCCTTACACATAACACAATATATATACAATACAAGAAAGGCCTATTTACATAATGGCCACAAACCCTATGTCTAATTACAATACGACCCCAACATAAATACCTATTTACATATAACTGTTCTAACACTCCCCCTCAAGCTGGAGAATATATATCATATAATCCCAGCTTGGACCAAATTGCTTTTAACCGATTATGACCAAGAGCCTTAGTAAACATATCAGCTAATTGATCTTCAGACTTCACAAATGGAGTAGAGATGTTCCCGCTCAATATTTTCTCTCGGGTGAAGTGACAATCAACTTCAATATGCTTGGTTCTTTCATGAAATACTGGATTGGATGCAATATGAACAGCTGCTTGGTTATCACAGAACAATGGAATAGGAGTCTTGACTATTAACCCAAGTTCCTCAAGAAAGTGTTGTATCCACGTTAACTCACTAGAGGTATGGGCCATCGCCCTATACTACGCTTCAGCGCTAGACCGTGCTACCACTGTTTGCTTTTTACTTTTCCATGTAACAAGATTTCCACCAACAAATGTGCAGTAGCCTGTAATAGATCTCCTATCTGAGGGAGAACCAGCCCAGTCAGCATCTGTGAAACCTTCTACCCTAAGATATCCATTTGGTTTATATAGCAACCCAAAACCGGGAACTTGCTTGAGGTATCGGATAATCCGAAGAACTGCATTCCAATGTGGCATCCTAGGAGATCCCATGAACTAACTTACAACACTAACTGCATATGAGATATCCAGTTGAGTGATGGTGAGATAAATTAATTTCCCAACAAGCCGTCGATATCTACCAGGATCATCAAATAGATCACCCTCATCTGACAAGAGTTTTGTATTTGAATCCATAGGAGCATCAACAGGACGACCACCCAACATACCTGTTTCTTCTAATAAATCCAACACATATTTTCTTTGAGATAAACTTATACCTTCCTTGGATCTAGCAACTTCAATACCCAAGAAATATCTGAGTTGACCCAAGTCTTTACTGTGGAACTGATTTTGTAGAAACAACTTCAATTTAACAATACCTTCATAATCATCACCTGTGATCACAATGTCATCTACATATACCACAAGGAAAATGAAACCAGCTTTAGTGTGTCGGTGAAACACCGAATGGTCTATCTAACATCTCTTAAGACCAAATGCTAATGCTGCCGCAGAGAACTTTCCAGACCAAGCCCTTGGAGATTGCTTCAATCCATACAGGGCCTTCCAAAGGCGACAAACGGTATGACGATACTCCCCCTGAGCAACAAACCTAGGTGGTTGCTCCATATAAACTTCTTCAACTAAGTCGCCATGTAAGAAAGCATTTTTCACATCTAATTGAAACAACGGCCAGTTACGATTGGCAACAATGGAAATAAGGACCCGTATAGAAGAAATCTTTGCAACAGGGGAAAAAGTCTCAGCATAATCAACACCATAAGTCTAGGTGTACCCCTTTACAAAAAGACAAGCTTTCAAACGCTCAATAGAACCATCATGGAGATACTTGACAGTGTAGACCCACTTACAACCAACCGGTTTGGAACCAGGAGGTAAGGGAACAAGATCCCATGTCCCATTATGATGAAGAGCATCCATTTCATCGATCATGGCTTGTCGCCAACCAAGATGAGAAAAAGCATCCTGCAAAGTCTTGGGAACAAGTATAGCAGACAGTTTGGATAAAAAACAAAATAAAGTGGTTGAAACATGATTATATGAGACAAAGTTAGAAATAGGATGTGCAGTAACACAAAATCGAATACCTTTGTGTAAGGCAATAGGAAGATCATCAGTAGCAACAGGAGCCTCAATAGAAGTAGACAATTGGGGGGGTGCTACCTGTGATCGTCGACTATACACTTGAGGTGGCGGTGGCACTGGAGGTGTGGTGGGACATAGGCTGATGAGTGTGACACAACAGGCAACAGAAACAACAACTCGGTATCTAAAGACGAACCATGTGAAGAAAAATAAGGAGTGTCCTTAAAAAACGTAACGTCCATGCACACAAAAGCACTACGAGTGCTAGGATCCCAACATTTATAACCCTTTTGAGTCCTAGAGTACCCAATAAAGGCACACTTAATGGCATTAGGAGACAATTTATTAATGCCAGGGCGTAATATGTGAGCAAAGCACACACACCAAAAAACACGAGGTGGTAATGCAAATAACGGCCAGGTAGGAAAAACAAGGGAATAAGGATATTTCCAGTTAAGAACAGAAGATGGCATACGATTAATTAAATAACAAGCAGTTAAAACAGCATCTCCCCAAAATGCCTTTGGAAGATGCATATGGATCATCAATGTCCGAGCTATTTCAATTAAATACATAGTTGTTAAAGGCTCAAGGCTGACTAAGGCGCCAAATGCCTTCTGGAGCCTAAGCGCAAGGCGCGAGCCTGATCGAAGTAAGGCGCATGTATATAAAAATGCATATTTAACATATATTATTATATGTATTCATAATCAAGCAGTAATTGCAATTGATGTAAGTAGTGAACCATAAATTTATGAACTTTGTCAAATATTTCAGAAGGTTAAACAATAAGATATCTGATATAGAACCGTTTAATTTACTAGTCATCGAGTAAAAAAGAAAATGATATGAATAAATGATTAAAAATAACAAGGCGCGCCCTTTTTGTAGCCTGAAGTCTACTAAAAAGTGTGAGCATAGGGGCTTTATGTGAGCCTTATTGAAGGGGCTTGGCCATAGTCGGTTGAGGCGCTCTAGCTGAGCCTTGACGAGCCTGGGGCTTTTTTGAAGCCTAGGCGCGCCTTTAACAACTATGATTAAATACCTATTTTTCCGTTCGGCTACACCATTTTGTTGGGAAGTATAAGAACAAAAAGTTTGGTGCAAGATGCCACGAGAGTCGCAAAAGGTAGAAATAGCACCTTTGACATATTCCATAGCATTATCAGATTGTAAAGCTCATATAACATAACCAAATTGAACTTCAATTTCTTTTAAAAATAATTGAAATATGGGAAAAAGTTCAGAACGGTCTTTCATTAAAAACAACCAAGTCATCCTTGAATAGTCATCAACAAAGGTAACAAAATAAGAAAAACCTGATTGACTAGTTTGACGAGTAGGACCCCAAATGTCCGTATGCACCAATTCAAATAAAGAAGACCGACGATTAACAATACGAGGAGGGAAAGACACTCTACGGTGCTTACCCAACTGACAAGACTCACAATTTAAAGTAGACACCGACTCAAGGAAAGGTAATGAAGACTTCAAGTACCACAACAAAGGATGACCTAACCGATAATGCCATTGGTATACAGACATCTGGGAATGTAAAGCAACACCACTAGTGGAAGGTGTGCAATCCAAATAGTATAAGCCATTTCTGTTAGTGCCCCCACCAATCGTCTTCTTCATGTTGAGGTCCTGAAAGACACAAAACGAAGGATAAAATGTGACAAAACAATTGAGTGCTTGAGTCAGTTTACTTACAGATAATAAATTAAAAGGAAATTTTGGAACCAATTGCACAAAAGAAAAAGAAATGGATGGGGATTGGGGTTAGTTTAATTGTTCCCTGGCCAATAATGGAACATGTTCTACCATTAGCCAAAGTAACAAAAGATGAGAAACGAGACTTCTGAAAATTAAAAAATAGAGATTCATCACCTGTGAGATGGGTAGACGCCCCAGAGTCAATAACCCAAGGGGATGCTGAAGTCTGTAAATCGGACAAGCATGCAATATTACCTGATTGCGCAAAGTTAACCATATCAGTAAAGTGGGGATGTGTCCAGTTGACCACGGCACTGAACTCAGCTCGTGAGAGTATCACACTGTCACTAGTAGGTGCAGATGATGGTAGTACAGAGTTTTGAGCAGGTGGGTGGTGGTGGTCAGGAGAGAGATGAGACCCAGCAATGTCAGAAAAAGACACTACTTGATTTGCCAATGCTGGTTTCCCATGAAGAGCCCAACAATGCTCAACAGAATGGTTAGTAACCCTACAGTGGCTACAATAGCGAGTATCAGTACATCCACGACCACGGCGACTGCGACCTCTATCACAGCCACCATCGCCACGAGAACCACTCGAAGTTCTCCATACCCTCTATTGTTACCGGGAGTATCACGGCCTCTAGAGAACTGTGGAGAGATAGAAGGAACCATCGTAGCTGAATTTTCTTTCACAGCGGACGTCCCATGTGATTGTTCTAAAACACGAAGCAATCGGGCATAAATGTTACCCAGAGATAGGAATCCTCCATCACCAGCAAGGATGTGATCCTGAATATTTTGAAGGCTAGGGTGCAAACCAGCAAGAAAAATGGAAACTGAAAATTCCTCACGCTGTCTCTTGAGAACGTCAAG